GCTTTATTCTTGGGGGGTTTGGTGGAGTAGGCTGAAAAAGTGGGTAGAGTGAGGGATGGCTAAGACAGGGCACGCAGCACCATCTGCCTCACGGTGTAGAAGGAACATAGGGAGTTGCTCTACATTCTGTTCTGGCCTACTTTGCAGTGCGTGTGAAGGACTAGGAAAAAAACTGAAGGGTTCATAAAGTGAACATAGTGGCCTATGTTTCAGAGTTACCAGAAGGCCTACAGCTCACCCTGAAAGAGGATGCTAGTCTGCACTGTTGGATTAGGAGGCAGGTCCCTGGTTCCTAGAGAGATGTCTGGGTTTTCCCATCTGAGGAGAAGCTGTCTTCTGGTTCCATAAAGAAGATATGACCCTGGGAGGCCAGTAGAGGCCCAGTGGATTCTGTATGTGAACAGAGAAACAATCGGTGTGAGGTAATAGGGAGTTGGGGAGACTAGTAAATTACAGCACTGCCGCTGGGGACAAAGGAGCACCACAGTTCTCCATCAGCTGTGGCTCTGCAGGGTGAGGCAAGTATAACTTAATCTGAGATCTACAGAGGCCATTTGGGAGCCATTGTTAGTAGGAAACACTGGGTTTGGAGCAGACTGGTAAACTAGAGGGAACTTGGCTGTCCTAAAGGTATATCAAAAACTTGCAGATTGGGGTGCCTGGCTGGCTCAGTTGGTAGAACATGCAACTCTTGATCTTGAGGTTGTGAGTTTGAGCCCCATGTTGGATGTACAGATTACTTAAAAATAAAATATTTAAAAAAGAAAAAAAAAAAAAACTTTCCAGATGACTATGGCCAAGTGAGATAAGAGTGAAGAAATTCTCAAGACCTGCAGACCTGTGTATTACCCATAATGGAAATCCAAACAAATGTAAGAATTCCTTATTTTCCTTGAGCTGTTCACCTTGTGGCTGTCACCACACAGGAACCTCATATCAAGAGGATAGAGCTCATGGTCTGGAGAATGGTTTATGTGAGTAGCCAGAGTTTTTAGAGAATCACCTAGCCATGGCATTCATTATTCCACCTCTGGTAGCTACCAAGGAAGTTTATCCTTTTTAAGGGGTGGGGAGACAACATGGTGGAGTTAATATGGGTCTCCCACATCTCTTACCTTTCTGGGAAGAGCCAGATATTCAGATTTTTATGTGGCTTTTGATTTTATGTTAGAAGCAATTTCAAAAAACTTTTTGGGGGTGCCTGCGTAGCTCAGTGGGTTAAAGCCTCTGCCTTTGGCTCAGATCATGATCCCACGGTCTTGGGATCGAGCCCCGCATTAGGCTTTCTGCTCAGCAGGGAGCCTGCTTCCTCCTCTCTATCTCTCTGCCTGCCTCTCTGCCTACTTGTGATCTCTGTCTGTCAAATAAATAAATAAAATCTTAAAAAAAAAAAACACAAACATTTTGTACAATACAAAAGCAGTTTACCAAAACCTGTGGGTGGGCTATATACATTCCCCTAGGCAGACTTTGGGTAAGAAAGACAGAGTTTTCTGACATGAGAGGCTTCAGGGTGCACTGTCTATCCATACTGCATCGTACGTGGGAAGGCAGTGCTACTGCCACCTCTTCTCAGGGTGACTTTCCCAAAAGCCCAGAGGGGACGAGGAGTGATAGCCACATTAGAGGCGGAACCCAAGACAGGCTTGCAGTCATCAAAGATTACAGCAGGGCTGCTCAAGTACTCCCTAGCACAATGAGATATTTGGGGGAATCCCCCACCCTGCTCAGGCCTGCCTTTCTGGATGTAATAATTGTCTTTTACCAACATGGAGGACTCATGTGGGATCAGAGTTAAAGGCCAACTGAGCCATGTGAGGATCAAGCCTTCTAAGCAAATGGGGTAGGACAGACACTGGTCATCACAGCTCAAACCTTTGTACATTGTGTGGATGGCTGGTTAGATCGCATTTAAATGGCCCCCAGCTCATGGGTAAAGAATTTTCTGTGTTTTCCTGGAACAGGCCTGGTCTCCCACTGGGGCTCGGTACACAGCAACCAGTCTGTTGGGGGAAGAAAGATGTTTGCCAGAGATGCTGGAATACTCCAGGCAAAGGTCTCATGACTCTGACCTCTGAGCTGTACCAGATACCAGCCTTTGCGGGGCTCAGTAGTTCCAACACTTTCAGCTCACTCAGTCAGCAGGGATGCAGTCTGTATACTGACACTGCGCATTCTGCCCTCACTCATGATAGTTCTCTGAGCTCCATTCAACAGTAGTTCCCTGCACTTGGACCTTTGCCTGTGACCTTCCCCATGAGGGACACCCTCCACTGTCTGCTCAGCCTTTCCGCACTTTGCCACTCCTCCAATTCTGCTACATTTTCTCTCCAAGTTGGTGTCAGTTTCTCTCTTCTCTTTTTTTTTTTTTTTTAAAGATTTTATTTATTTATTTGACAGAGCGATCACAAGTAGGCAGAGAGGCAGGCAGAGAGAGAGGGGGAAGCAGGCTCCCTGCTGAGCAGAAAGCCCGATGCGGGGCTCGATCCCAGGACCCTGGGATCATGACCTGAGCCGAAGGCAGAGGCTTTAACCCACTGAGCCACCCAGGCGCCCCTCTCTTCTCTTTGACGCCTGAACCTTTGGCCTGATGCCAGGCCTCTGCTACCCCCACACACACACACACACACACACACAAACTGCCAGTAAGCGCATGAAAAGTTGCTCAACACCACTGGTCATTAAAGAAATGCAAATCATCGGGGCGCCTGGGTGGCTCAGTGGGTTGAGCCTCTGCCTTCGGCTCAGGTCGTGATCCCGGGGTGCTGGGATCGAGCCCCGCATCGGGCTCTCTGCTCAGCAGGGAGCCTGCTTCCTCCTCTCTCTCTCTGCCTGCCTCTCTGCCTACTTGTGATCTCTCTCTCTCTCTGTCCAATAAATAAATAAAATCTTTAAAAAAAAATGCAAATCAAAACCACTTCACACCCCCTAGGCTATCCATGGGAAAACAGACAACAAGTATTGATAAGGAAGTAGAAAAGTTGGAATGCTCATACACTGCTGTGGAGCTATACAACGGTGCTGCCAATTTGGAAAACAGTTTGGCAATCCCATTTCTATTTATCTACTCAAAAGAAATGAAAACATACTTATACAACACCTTGTGCTTGAATGTTCATCGCAACATTTTTCGTAACACCCGAAAAGTGGAAACAAAACAAGACAAACAGGGGCACCTGGGTGGCTCAGTGGGTTAGGCCGCTGCCTTCGGCTCAGGTCATGATCTCAAGGGTCTTGGGATCGAGCCCCGCATCGGGCTCTCTGCTCAGCAGGGAGCCTGCTTCCTCCTCTCTCTCTGCCTGCCTCTCTGCCTGCTTGTGATCTCTGTCTGTCAAATAAAAAAATAAAATCTTAAAAAAAAAAAAAAAAAAAAAAAAAACAAGACAAACAAGGCCCAATCAACTGACGAACGAATAAACAAACCATGGTAAATATTATTTGGCCATAAGATGGAATGAAGTCCTGACATGTTTTACAGCATGGATGAACCTCAAATATATTATGCCAAGTGAACGCCATTCACAGAAAAACATACTGTGTGACTCCATTTGTATGAAATGTCTAAAGAAGCAAATGTACACAGTCAGACACTTAACTGGCCGAGCCACCCAGGTGCCCCAAGTTCCCAGACTTTTCAAGCCTGACTGCGTTTCTACCCTGCGTGGTCATCACCTCTCCCATCAGTAGCGAAAGTGGGGGATCGGGGAGAAGAATCACCCCAGTTACAGAAAGCAGCAGTGGTTTCCAACCCCAACACATGGTACTGGCTGAGCACTGTGGCTCAAAGCCCGTCAAGTGTAGGGTCATAGTTCTCTCTCTAAACATGCCTCTAAGTTAACATTCTCTTCATCACAGGAAGCATAATTTTTGGACCAGGGACACATCTAGAAATCTACAACACACAAGTTTTGCTGAACTGACATTTTATTGACCTTTTGGGAAATTAGTTTCCCAAAATTTTAAAATCAAAAGACCCCACAAAACAGAGGATATCACTTCTCTCCCTTGGCAGCAAAAACAATGAAGGCCATGGTATGCAAAGACGCCAGGAGCACTGGCCACATCCCCGGACTGCATGGTCTTCATTTTAGGACCAGGGTATGGCCATGAAGTGAACATCCTGCTATCCCCAGTAAGGCAACAAAAGTCAGGGACCTCTCCTCACAGAAGCCAGTCCCTCTCTTCATGAGCCCAGTTCGGTTCTCAGTCCCTCCATACACAGTGATTAAAACCCCCAATATTAAATATGTTTTGTTGTGTTTTGTTTTTCAGAACCCCCAATATTAAACATGGCGTAAACAGTAAAGCTTTCATTATCTAACACATTCCAGGGAGCGTGAGACAGTCAGGTCCAGGGGTGGATGAATCCATGACAGGAACCATGTAGAGTATCCACTGTGTCCATGGAAATGATTAATCTTCTCTGGAAGCCCCCAGTAGCACAGCTCAGCTACTCTTGACCAGCGACTGGTCACAGACATACCCGGTTGGGGGGGCAGTGAGGCCCACTGTGGGGTCCACCACTCACAATTCTTTCCTCGACAGAGTGGGGACTAAGGAGGTCTGCTGTTCAGAACACGTTGACATGACTGATGCACACCTTGGGTTCCTGCCCGGTGGTGGAGGTGGGACAGCTTCTATCACAGAAACCAGCGGTGACTTCGCACTGCCAACAGCCTTGGCAGTCGGAGTGCAACCTAGCTTCTGAAAGCTTCCTACACACCTGCCACGCCGTGGCACATGTTGGGGTATGCCAGGTTTAGCTTTCAAATGGCTACTCTCCTCAATCTCCTTTACGGAGGGAGGCCTTTCATGTTGAACAAGGTGCCCAGCCCCGGCTACAGGCTTTCCAATATGCCCTGTCTTCTTACGGCCTTTCTCCAGTGTGGACTTTCTTGTGCTGAAGGAGGGTAGAACTATGTTTGAAGGCTTTCCCACATTCTGTACATTCATAGGATCTCTCTTCAGTGTGGAACTGCTGGTGCCGATTGCGGTAGGACCTCGTGGTGAAGGTCTTCCCACACAGGCTGCACTCATAGGGCCGTTCTCCAGTGTGAACTTTCCAGTGCTGATACAGGCCAGAGCGGGTCACGTACGTTTTCCCACATTGCTTGCACTCATAAGGCCTTTCTCCAGTGTGAACTCTCTGGTGAAGAATGAAGCTATGGTTGTATTTAAAGAATTTCCCACATTCCCTGCACTCATAGGGCCTTTCTCCAATGTGAACTTTCCGGTGCCGAATGAGAGTAGACAGAACGCTGAAGGTTTTCCCACATTCGCTGCACTCATAAGGCCTTTCTCCAGTGTGAATTCTCTGATGCAGAACAAGTGCATCTTTGCGGTTGAAAGTTTTGCCACACTCATCACACTTGAAAGGTTTTATGCCTGTGTGAACCTTCTGGTGCTTCCTCAGTTTAGATGGATAACTGAAAACCTTTCCACACTCATTACACACATGGGATGTTTCTGCAGTGTGAATTTTTTGGTAATTGACATGGGTGGATTTCTCCTTGGGGGCATTTCCACCTTTCAGGCATCTAAAGGGTCTCTCTTTGGGGTGAGTTATCAGGTGGTCAAGGAGTGCAAATGCCTTCAGGAAGGCTTTCCCACAGACACTGCACTTGAAGGCCTTCTGTGTGGTATGGAGTCCCTGCTGCTTCTGGCAACTGAAGCTGCCGTGGAAGGCCTCCCCAGGCTTGGTGCTCTTGTGTAGCTTCTCCTTGCTGTAGGCGGCCTGGCGCTGGAGGAGGCCCACGGTGGCTGGGACATCATTCCCAGACTCCTCACACAGAAAGGGCCTCTCCGACAGGCGGACTCCGTAGCTCTTCATTTGCTCTGGAGAGGCTTCCTCGTCCTCCAGTCTACACAGACGACCTAAAACAGAGAAAAGCCAGTTACTGAGCATTGGATCAGAGGGAGGAGGCACCTTCATCAAAAACGCATGTCATGGGTCACCCGGGTGGCTCAGGGGGTTAAAGCCTCTGCTTTCGGCTCAGGTCATGATCCCAGGGTTCTGGGATCAAGCCCCGCATCGGGCTCCCTACTCAGCAGGGAGCCTGCTTCCCTTCCTCCTCTCTGCCTGCCTCTCTGCCTACTTGTGATCTCTGTCAAATAAATAAACAAAATCTTTAAAAACAAAACAAAACAAAACAAAAAACACATGTCAGACACACCCAAAAGGAGTCCAGAGAGTTGCCAGGAGGTTGCTAGGAAGAGTCTGGGTAAGAAAGGGCTGCCCCAGCAGAACAGGGCTCCACCAGATCACAGAATAGGAAAGAGCTAAGCAGGGACGAGGACACAAGATGGGAGCAGTGCAGGGAGAAGAGGTGAGATCTCCAAGTCACTCCTTTCAATGGCTTCAAGTAGGGCCTCAGCCGCTGGTGACAGGGAGCACTGTGAAGGGGATGTGATTGCTCCAATGAAAAGGCAATGGTAACAGAGTAGCTGGTATTCAAGTGTTATTTAAGGGTATGTACACATCTCAAGTCACCAGTGGACAGCACTAAACTGGCACAGAGGCCAGAGAGGTGGGTCATCTAGGTCCTGAGAGTCATGGTAGGGATAGCAAGACCACACAGTGTGTCCAGAAGGGAGAGGAAAGGTGGAAATAGTGTGTGGTCACTGGCCTCAGCACCAAAACGCTGGTGCACAATGATACCCAGCATGCTGTGAGCCCATCGCTGAAACCAAGGCATTACCCAGCCCTACTCACTAGGAACAGGACCCTTCCTGGACTCTGCTCTGCTGCCTAGAGTCAAGTCCACCATGTTGGGCACCCAGAGCTCTTCTTCACTTTCCAGTTTGGTGACCACATGGGACCTTGAAGGTGCAAATCCTACAAGGGAGAAAGATAGTAAGAGGCCAGCCCAAGCCAAGGAACATCGCCCCAACCCCGCAGGAAGCTCATGTCTTCATGCCAACCATGAAGGAAATGGAGTATTAGAAAACAAACCTCCTCGGCACACTGGAAAATTTGCTAAGCAGGTAGACTCCATGTTGTGTTTTACCACAATTTATTGTGAAAGAACCTTACACTGAAGGTAAACTGACATAACTGAAGTAAAAAAATAAATAATAATAGTTGAAGATTTCAACTTCTAACTTTCAATAATGGACAGAACTACTCGGCAGAAAACAAGCAAATAGCACTTGAATAACACCAGAAATCAGCTAAACTTAACAGACATCTATAGAGCCTACTACATAACAAAAGCAGACTATGCATTCTCATGTTCTCACACAGACATGGAACATTCTCCAGAACACACCACTTTGCTAGGACATAAAACAGGTCTCAACAGATTTCAGAGGACTGAAATCACACAAAGTATGTTCTCTGACCACAAAGGAATTAAAATAGAAATCAACAGAAAGAATTTGGGAAACTCACAAATTTATGGAATTTAAATAAAACACTCCTAAATAACCACAAAGAAAGCTACAAAGCACTTTGAGATGAATGAAAATGAAAACACAACATACCAAAAGTAATGGGACATAGCAGTTCAGAGCTATAAACACCTCCATGGTGTTTTACTCATAGCACTTTTTCTTCTTCTTCTTCTTTTTTTTTAAGACTTTGTTTATTTATTTGAGAGAGAGAGAGCAAAAGCAGGGGGAGAGGGAGAGGGAGAAGCAGACTCCATGCTGATCAGAGAGCCTGATGTGGGGCTCAATCCCAGGACCCCAGGATCATGACCTGAGCCAAAGGCAGATGCTTAAGTGACTAAGCCATCCAGCCACCCCTACTCATAACACCTCTGACACCAAATGTGGGTAAGATGTAGGGCGGGTGTTCCACGCCACATCTCTAACCCTCAGACACCAACGTTGTGTCCAAGGATTCAATTAAATTCTGATACTAACTACCTGGAATCAGTGTCAGATCCCACAGGTTAAGGGCTCAGTCTCCCAAGACTGCCCACATTTCAGACAACAGTTGGAAGTCCAAGACTCCCATTTTTCTGACTAACTGGCTATAAATCAGGGATTCCCACAAATATATTTATCCCTTCTCAAGTTCAATAATTTGCTATAATGGCTCAAAGAACTCAAGAAAAGAGTTTACTTAGTATCACCAGATTATTACTATAAAGTACACAACTCAGGAACAGCCCAATGGAAGAAATTCAAAGGGCAAAGTTTGCCAGGGGTGGAGATGGGAGTGAGGGGTGAGGAAGCAGAGGGTAAAGGGCATCCATGCCCTCCAGTGGCACCGTTTTCCCAGCAACCCAGAAGCTCTCTGAACTCTGTTATTTCGTAGTTTCTATAGAGATTTCATGATGATGTATAATTAGTTAAATCATTGGCCACTGGTGATTGGTTCAGTCTCCAGCCCCTCTACTCTCCGCAGAGGCCAGAGGTGGAGGACTAGAAGGATGGGGTTGGAGGGTAGCTCATCATTCAGATGGCCACCTCCTATCCTGAAGCTATCTAGGAGCTCCCAGCCACCAGTCATTCCATAAGCACACAAAAGACACTCTTATCATTTCAGAGATTCCAAGTTTTTTAGGAGCTATGCTAGAAATTGGAGACTAAGACAAAATATGTATTTCTTACTATGTCACAGCACCCATATTTAAAAAGATCTCAAACCAACAGCCTAACTTTAGGCCTCAAGAAACAGGAAAAAGAAAAGTGACTAAACGCAAGGCTACCAGAAGGAAGGAAATGATAATGAGCAGAGATAATTGAAATAGAGATTAGAGGGCGCCTGGGTGGCTCAGTGGGTTAAGCCACTGCCTTCGGCTCAGGTCATGATCTCAGGGTCCTGGGATCGAGTCCCGCATCGGGCTCTCTGCTCAGTGGGGAGCCTGCTTCCCTTCCTCTCTCTCTGCCTGCCTCTCTGCCTACTTGTGATCTCTGTCTGTCAAATAAATAAATAAAAATCTTTAAAAAAAAAAAAAAAAGAAATAGAGATTAGAAAAAAGAGAATAAGACCAAAACTAGGATCTTTGAAAAGAGCAATGAAATTGAAAAACTGCTACCTAGACTGAAAAGAAAACATAGAAGACTCAATTTATTAAAAACAGGAATGGAAAAGGGGACATTACTAACAACATTACAAAATAGAAACAATTGTAAGGAAATACTATGAACAACTGTATTATATGCCCACAAGTTAGGTAACTTAGATAAAATGGACAAATTCCTAAAAAAGACACAAACTACCAAGACTGACTCAAGAAGAAATAGAAAGTCTAGTTAGAGTTAAACAAAAAAAAAAAAAAAAAAAAAAAACCACTTCCCCCACAGGGGTGAAAAAAATAAAGGTTAGGCCCAGAGGGCTTCACTGATGAATATTTACACTAAAATAAGAATTAGCACAGGGGCGCCTGGGTGGCTCAGTGGGTTAAGCCTCTGCCTTTGGCCCAGGTCATGATCTCAGGGTCCTGGGATCAAGCCCCATGTCGGGCTCTCTGCTCAGCAGGGAGCCTGCTTCCCCTTCTTTCTCTGTCTGCCTCTCTGCCTACTAAATAAAATCTTAAAAAAGAAAAAAAAAAGGAATTAGCACAAATATTTCACACACACTTCCAGAAAACAGAAGAAAAGGTAATGTTTCCCAACTCATTCATTCAGGCCAAAATTACCCTCATGCTCAATCCAAACAAAGACATTATGAGAAAACTATGCACGGATGACTCTTACGAATATAGATGCAGAAGTCAACAAAATACTAGTAAACAAAATCCAGAAATACATAAAAGGGTTATAAGCTATGACAGAGTCGAATTTATCCTTGTAATACAAGGTTGAACACATGAAAACCAAATGCTGTAATATACCATGTTAACAAAATAGAGGAGGAAAAAATCACATGACCATTTCAAAAGATATGGGAAAGCACTAGACAAAATCTAATTATCTTTCATGATTAATGCATTCAACAAACTAAGAAAAGAAGGGAACTTCCTCACCCGTCAAGGGCAGCTACAAAAACAACAGCTAACATCATACTTACTAGTGAAAGACTAAATGTTCTTCTCGTCAGGTTGGGAAGAAGACAAGGATGTCTACTCTCACCAGTTCTATTCAGTAAGTACTGGAGATTCTAACCAGGTCAGTTAAGGAAAGGAAGAAGTAAAAATATCTGCATTTGCAGATGACATAATGTCATATATATGGAAAATATCAAGAAATCCACAAAACAAAACAACACTATTAGAACTATCCATACCAAAGCTACAGAATACACATTCTAGTCTAGTGCACATGGAACATTCTTTTTCTTAAAAAAAAAAAAAAAAAAAAAGATTTTTTTAAATTTATTTGACACAGAGAGATCAAAAATAGGTAGAGAGGCAGGCAGAGAGAGAGAGAGAGGGAAGCAGGCTCCCTGCTGAGCATAGAGCATAGAGCATGATCTGAACCGAAGGCAGAGGCTTAACCCACTGAGATACCCAG